TGTATTTTGACAGCGAGTGTCCTCACAACTACAGTAAGACATGACAGCGTGTGTATACCTGCATGTACACAAAAACTGGCAGCAGAGTGAAAGAGAGAACAGAGTGAGAGACCCTGAATTGCAGCTATATTGCTGGGGGCATGGCTGCATCACTCAGGGAAGTTACAGCACAGGGTGTGAATCTGCAGAGAGACAGACAGACCTGTCGAGCCAGACTCTCCAGGGGTAGAGTGTTGTGCAGCACATCCATGGCCCGACAAAATCTAATGAAGAGTCTGAAAAGTCTATGTTGACAAGATCCCTAAACAGTAGGAAGCAAAACCAAAAGCCATCAGCTTTATCAATCACTATGGAAAAGTAAATTGTTAATCTGACAATTATCTGGCATGTCATAGCCTGGTGTTTGCCCATATGGTCTCATTGGCGAGACAACCTATTCAGTAATAGCTACACTGTCACCGTTTCCTACCAGTAATGTAGCATTGCAACATTTTAGACAAATGTGATAAAATACAAATTTGAACAGCAAATCAATTTAACAATTATGGCTTTCACAAAGCAGAAAAAGGTGAATGTCATATTATAACCGGACCTTTAAAGGCACCCTAAAGAGAAGAGCGACAATGAAAAGTTTGTCTTTTCATGGTTATCTGTAGACCAAGAGCTCAGCCAGAGAATAAAAATGCCACATCTACTCATTCTGGAAAGCCTAAAATATTACCAGAGCACTCAGAGGCTCATTCCCTAATATATAAGACTATGCCCTCCATTAAGACTTTGATTTGATTTGATTTATTTATTCTTTCAAGCATATGAAACAGTTGATATAACAACACACATTTTTACACACAATCCAATATCAATTAGCTTATACCCAATACATGCTTGAATGGACTCAGAGAAGCACATCACATTCTCTGGACATTACACACCATTATCTGCACCGTTTGCTGTGATGGCACAACTACCTATGTTTTCAATAAGCAGGGAAGAATGAACCACAACCACCACATAGCTCCTTCACTCCTAAAAGGAAGTAGCCCTCAGACATTTGATAAAGCTGTTACAGGATCTGTACCATTCATAAAACAAATGGACTGAAAATTTATATTTCTCATTTGTTCTTTGCATTCAAATCTTGCTCAAATAAACTAATAAATCCATGCAATGTTCCATTTCACCAGTATAAATTAAGACACAATGAGAAGCTTGGTTCAAGAGCAAATTAAATAATGTACAAGGATATAGAAACCAATTTTGATTTCTTTAATTCTGACCTGGCATAATACAAGGTGAAGTTAATATTATTAATAATAAACCTACCTGTTACCTTGCTCTGACCACAGAACAACATTTTGTTCTGTTTAGAGGTTGCTAGAGCAGGGCACCTCGCCCTCTACACTGCATTTTATGCATGAATGACCATGAAGGTAAACAATGCTGTCTGTGTGCCAAGCAAACCTGCCGGCAAACACTGAATCGACTGCATATCAAGAACCCTATAAAAGTCAATATCCACGGGATCACAGTATTCTGCCCTCTGAGGGTCACTGCTCTCATCAAACTTGTGATGACTGCAGAACGAGCAGCTCTATACAACAGAATACCAATTGCCTTTCAGGTTCTTTATAGTGTTCATAACCAGATTCCATGCACACTAAATTGGCTCCCATAAAAAGTGATCTAACACAAAACAATGGGAAGGGTTTACAGCCAGTAATGGATTAGGAGTCACACCTTGTGCATAATTACCACAGTCATCATGATAACAGAAGTCTTCTCCACTTCACACTGCTATCTTTAGGACCTTATTTTGCTCTGACAGGGATGGTGACACTCAAATGAAATCCATGCAAGACACGATTTTGTGTTTTCCATGCAAAAAGCAACAGCAATGACATACAGTGCATGTTCATCAAATTTAAAACCATCCTTTGAGCAAGCCCAGCAATTTTCTGACATACTTTAACTGTGATAGTCTCCACTTTCCATCCCTCATCTTTGGATTGGCATCAGACAATATGAACTACAACAGTCAACAAATTAGCAATCAGGGAATGATGCACGTCACAATTCCAGAAGAAGATGGTATCATTGCATGCATCTGAACATAATACAGCCATTACACAAAAGAGAAAAATGCACTCTGCATCTGGGCAGAAAGTCTTCCATTTTAAGAGAATCAATACCATGGACAAAACAGCCTACCCCATACGATTCAACCTAGACAGTGGTGCAGAGTAAAAACTAATCCACTTCTGGGGCATGCGTCAGTGGAGTAGGAAAAGAGATACAGGTTTGAGTGGTGGCTCATTCTAAACAGTGGGCTGAGTTGAACCATCTGCCATATCTGGATGCTGCAGTCCAGGCCATCATGGCAATCCTGCCCTCGAACTTGCAGTTTAAGGATTGTCACCACAACTCCTCTTATCTGGCTCTCTCCAAGCTTTCATCCAGGTGACAGTTTGAGTACCTCCAGTCAAACAGAATTAAAAGCTCAATGAACCTAAAACAAAATGTAATGGAGGACAAAGCAACTTGGCATCCTCTAAAGCTATAGGCAGCTCCTTTGCAACAAACATTGCTGTCATTACAAAACTTTAGCTAAGGGTGCATTGAAAATTTGTGAAATATACTGTATATTAAATGTATTATTAAAAAATGCATTTCAGCTGCAAACATATTCTAAAGTTTTTGAGTCAGTCTGAGCTACAGTTAATGCACTTGGAAAACAATAAGAAATCAGCAGTTATGCTAGGTCACAATACAAGATGACCAAATACTAAATTACCTAGTTTAACTGCAGGACCAAACAATCATAATTCTGCAAGTACAATACAT